GGCTTTGCTTCTTCGTCAGATAGTATCTTGCGAAATTTTACACGGCCAGAGGAAGCAGCTGGTCCCATGCACCTATATTCTCCATAGTGTATTGTCCTATAAACACAATACAAAATAAATAATTAGCAATAATTGAGTATTGATCCCCGTGAGGATGATCAACCAGAAAGTTGTAAAATGTCAAATTTAAGTAACACAATTACTTTAGTGGCTCATTATAGTCAATTTCAACGAGAAAATCTAAATAGTAATGGCTTTGTCAAGAAACATACTTAACTTATACTAATATATTTAAAAAAAAATCCTAATTCAAATTAACAAGAGGAACAAACTAAACTCCACTGCAACCTTTCAAACAGAGCCTTAGAGAAAGAGGAAAATATAACTTTACTTCTCACCGAAAGACATATCATAAATCATGCCCACTAAAGCTTTGATAGAAAACCAAGAAGAATCAAGAAAAGGATAATATAAATCATTCTTCAATCTAAAGCATACATAGAAATATAACCAACCAAGTCTTTTAGAAATATAAAGCAGCAAAGCATACATAGTCAAAATGAAAGTTTTAACTTGCTCACTAGTGGAACTACAGAACTTATACTCAACAAAAGCGTAAATAGAACTCGTCCAATGAAGGACAATCAAGTCTGGAAAAAGTTACTCACTTCTATGCTGTACAAATTGCTCTAATCATGATAAACAATATTAAATAGTAAATAAATTTTATTGCGACATATAGCTTTTAGAAGGCATTGTAAAATCAACTTGCACTAAGTCTAGATAAAGTTATATCCAACATCTATTTAAAATAGGGAAAAAAAGGATAAAAAAATTAATTCAATTTAAGCATGTTAAGTGATATTTGAAAACAAAAAATAGAAATGCTACGTGATATTTGAAATCAGTAAATTAGCATTTTAAATAGGCAATATAACAACTTTGCAGGGGTGAAAGTGTAAACAAACAACTCCACCAAAGTGCTGAGCATATCCAGTATCCACTTCAACACGAAAATTCTGTACCTGCACATCCACTCACACTAACTACGCAATTATGTAGTTAAGGTTGCTAATGAAGATTTTATATCTTTATCCCACCCTTAAGTTCAGTGACTTTAATTTAATAAAAGACAGCTCTTACCTTAACATGGCAACAATACCACAAGTAACCTGAAAAAAAAAGGTTTAAAATATTTTAGCTTTAAGCCTACCAAAATATAGTTGAAAACAAACAATGCAGAACATAAAGCTATAGTATCCCCAATTGTTAAGACGGTAACAAGAACAAATTTGAATAATTCAAAACTAAACAAATCTGAAAATACCTGACAAAGCTGTTATAGAAACCATGTTCATGGTTATAATCACGATGGTAATTACAATTCACTACATTTATTCCCCTGTAGTGAATTTCAAAGATTAATGAGATGGTAGAGTTAAGAAAATAAAATTTTTAGGTAAAATTAAACAGTTAACTGAACTTCAACAAATAGTTATATAGTTTAATTAACCAAATTCGGTAAGAGATGAAGGCCCTAAATTCTCTTCTTCTTTATTTTCCTTACCCCGCAACATTATAAAAAGAAGAAAACGAAAGAAAGCAATATAATCGTAAACAAAATCTTCAATCTAAAAACGTAATGAAGCATAAGCTCATTAACGATAAGCAACAATATGTAAGTACAAAAACCACACCATAGTAAAAACAAAAAATTGAATCAATCATAACCTATGTTCCCAATGTTTGAATAGCAAAAATTTGAGAGACATAGAGTGAGGAAGAGGAAGTTACATGGTGACACAAGAAAATGCGAAATAGAAATGATCACATACGTACATGCAGGTTTGATTTGACTCCAAATCGAACCATAACGTGCCTGAATTTTTCTAGGGTTTATCGATCCTCCATGAAAGTAGTTTTAAAGATGAAGGTGAGGAAGAGCTAAGCTAGAATAAAAAGCAAACAAAAACTTTGAAGAAGATGTGATTGCTGTGAATTGAGATTTGATGAAAGATGAAATAAATTAAGAAATGAAAAAAAAAACAAAAACTCCTCAATTAAATTAAAGAATGAAGAAATGAATAAGGTGAGCTTTTGTTTTTTTGGTTTTACTCAGGTCAGAAAGCATCTTTTTTTCTACGGTAATTTGGGACGTTAGAAAACAGTGAATAAAGTTAGGGATATTTTTGTAATTTTAGAATGATTTCATTAAATGTGGCAAAATACATGTACCTAAAGACCGCTTTTCTTGTAGTGAGATTACAACGGGTGTAAGTTGATCATGTCTCATATATATATATATATATATGTGTGAGTGTGTGTTGGGGGGGGGGGGGGGGGCAAGATCAATTTATATCGAAGTAAGAATAATAAATCTTACACTCAATATTAACCATTGATTTTCGTATATCAAATGATGGTATGATTGAATTTTTCTCATTAATTAATTATTAATTATCAATGAATTATAAATATTAGAAGTATGAAAATTAATAGTTAAAATTAAATGTAAGATTTATTATCCTTACACCGGTGTGAGAAGATCATGCTGAAGACCTCCTATGTATTATTGAATATGGAATATATATTTTGAAGATGACAAAGGATTTACAAGAAGTCTCAAATTGAAGATGGAGTGTGAAGATATAAATGATTAGGTATTTTAAATTTTTTTTTAACACATTAGATATATCACTAAGCATGATTCCAAGCTCCATTGCATTTCATTGCATAACATGTATTTAGCTATGTTGAGTGATTTAATAAATAAAATAAAGTAAAAATAATATATGTATATATATATATATAAAGAAATGAAAAAAAATGAAGAAAAACTACAGCGACTACAGCGTCCTTTTCATATTTTGTTACGTTGATTAGTTTGTTTTTAAAGGTATTATATATATATATATATATATATATATATATATATATATATATATATATATAAATATATAAAGAAAGGAAAACAAAATTAAATCTACAGCGTGCGTTCCTTTCTCTAATCTTTGTTTTACGTTGATTTTTATATATATATAAAGTGACTATTGTTTTACAATTGATTCTTCCAACGCGCACAGTTAGTGTTCAACTTTCTTTTGAATATTATATACTATATAATAATAGAAGCATAAGAGAATCATTAGAAAATAAAAACTCACAGACTTGCGAAAAAGAAAAAAAAAGGCGCTCTTTCTCTCGGTTCTTCACGCTGAAAAACAGAGTCATTTCTCATCTGAAAAATCGTTGTTCGTTTCTTTCATCTTTGATTTGCTTGTGAATGAGTGTTTGATACTACACCTTATATTCATCTCCCTCCCAAAAATCCCCAAATTTTCATCAACAATTTTTTTTCTTCTTGAACCCTAAACAAAGTGCATCACTGTTGATGAGTCTCTTGATTGATTTCTAAGTCAAGATTGGGTGATTTGAAGTGCTGTTCATGATTCTACAAGTTTGAAGGATTTAATTCAAAGATTCTTGGAACTAAGGTTGTAGAACCCTAACCACATTTTGTGTTTTACTTTGCTGAAAATTTGAGATCTATTGAGGTAATATCTTAAACCTTGTTTTGAGCATCCTTTGGTATAATCTTGATACTGGATATTATTGAATTAGTTTTCAGTTTTCTTGTTGATATATTGTGAGCATTCTGATTTTTCTATTTTGATTTTAAGTGAGTATAGTAGAAATCTTGATGCTCTTTGTGTAAGATTTGTGTTTCTAATTTTTTGTGAAAGATTAAAAAAAAAAAAATAAGAAAAATAAATAAATATTAAATCTGAATTTTTGTTATTGTTATACAGTGATTTAATTCAGATTTTTTGTTTGGGATTTTTTGTTTAGAAACCTAATCTTGAATTGTTCTAGGAATTTTATTGTTGAGATATTAAATCTGAATTTTCTGTTTTAATTAAGATATATTTTGATTAAAATTCAGATTTCTTGTGGTTTATCAATAAAAGATTTATCTAGAATTAATTCTGAATTTTTTGTGAAATTTTAAGAGAAATTACAATTCTGATTTTTCTGAATATAATGTGATAATTTCTTTTTAAATCAGAATTTTTAGTGTCTATCATTTTGATACTTGATATAAATAAATACAAGTTCCTTATTGCTGAAAATTTATAGTTTGTGATACACATACTTGTGCTCTAAATTTTCTGCATACATCATATCATTTTTGGAGCTTGTTGTTCTGCTTTATCTGATATATCAAGTGTGCTAGGACATTGTAATAGGTTGAAAAATTTTCTGTTATAAATCTGAGATATTGTATTGGTTGTTAAAGTGGAGTAGTTGTGTGCTGCAAATCTGTCCTAGGTGTGTGGGTGCAACCGAGTGGGTTGGCGACCTTGTGCTTGGCTTGAGAGTGTGTCTCAAGGCCTGGAGCCTCAAGAATCCACTAGGGAGAGTGGAGGTCTTGTGTGAGAGGAGTTGGTGAACTCCTTAGGTTCGGCTTGAGAGTATTCTCAGAGCTTGGAGCAGTGTAGGCAGTAGGAAGATTTTTGGTATTTTGTTTGATTGCATGTGTGACGCGTGTTTGTAAAACTGGTACACTTGTGATAAATAAAATATCTGCAGCTACTTCAGTCTGGACGTAGCAACCTACTTAGGCTTAGTGGGTGTGAACCAGGATATATCGTGTGTCCATTGTCTCTCTGGTTTAATTTCTGAATATTTTGTTTATAGACTGACAGTTACACTAATTCTATTATAATTGCTGCGTTTATACTCTATAATTGCTAAGGTACGCTTTCTGTTACTACATTGTTCTTAGCATTGCGAAAAACTATTTTGGGCATATAGGGATTCAAGAAAAATTGTGTAATTGTTTACTGAATTCAAAAAGATTTTGAAAAAGTTGAGAACACCTATTCACCCCCCTCTAGGTGTTCCGTAAGCGTCCTGTGTAAGAAGCCACTTGCCCAACAAGTGGTATCAGAGCTACGTGCTCTGAGTGATTGGCTATCTGCCAAAGAGTTAAAGATCCTATGGCTTCTTTCCATCAGGATATTCCTCTTGAGGGTGGTTCAACCAACCGTCCTCCGTTTTTCAATGGGATTGATTATCCTTATTGGAAAACTCGGATGCAGATTTTCCTTGAGTCAGTAGATCTTAAAATTTGGTATAGTGTAGAGGAAGGATATCAGCCTCCAACCACACTAGATGACAATGGAAAAATTGTGCCTAAAAAACACACAGATTTTACTAGAGATGAATTAGAGAAAGCCCAATACAACTCAAAAGCAAAGAACTTAATAGTTAATGCACTAGGCAAAGACGAATACTACCGAGTATCTTCATGTAAGACCGCACGTGAGATGTGGCTTATTTTAGAAACAACTCATGAAGGTACTAGTGAAGTAAAGCGTTCTAAACAAAATGCATTATCTAGAGAGTTTGAGCTCTTTGAGATGCATGAGGGTGAATCTATATTTGACATGCAAAAACGTTTTATGCATATAGTTACTTCAATGAATGCTTTAAATATTTTCCATGATGATGAACTGTTAGTTAACAAAATTCTGAGATGTCTTACTAAGGAATGGGATGCAAAGACTTCGGCAATCTATGAAGCTAAAGACCTCTCTACAATGTCAATAGCTACCTTATTTGGAAAGCTTCAAGAATATGAGTTGGAGTTAAACAGAAGGGCTAACCGTGAGCTTAACAAGAAGAAACAAAAGGGATTAGCTCTCAAGGTATCATCATCTCATTCAAAGGAAAGTAAGGAAAGTACTGATACATCATCAAGTGATTCAAGCTCCGGTGAAGACGACGAAATGACAATGTTTGTGAAAAAATTTAACAAGTCATTCACCAAATTCTTCAACAAGAAGTTCAACAAAAGAAGAAGAAGAGATGTTGGCCAAAGAAGAAAAGACAACAATTCAAGCAATGCAAACTCAAACAATGCTTGTTTTGAGTGCGGAAAAGAAGGCCACTTCCAAAAGGATTGTCCTAATAAAAAGAATAAATATGACAACGGCAAGTTCAAGAAAGGTAAAGGCAAAAAGAAAAAGAAGGCCTACATGGCATTCTCGGATGATTCATCAAGTTCATCAAGCTCCTCAAGTAGTGAAAAGGCAAACTTGTGCTTAATGGCAAATCTAGAGGATGAACATACCGAGGTATACTCTTGTCACTCTTCTAACTCTTTATGTGATAGTAGTTCATGTAATAATTCTAACTCTATGTGTGACACTAGTTCATGTGATACTTCTTCTATGATTGGTCCATCTTATGATGATCTATTATATGCTTATAAATGTTTGCAAGTTGAGAATGAAAAATTAACCTCTAAGGTTGAGAAAATTAAAAAGGAGAAAAATAACTTGCAAAACAATGTTGATAGCTTAACAACCATTGTAAATGATCTAATGAAAGACAATGAAGATCTTAAAAATGAAAATCTTTTTATGAATTGTCTTGTTGGATCATGTGATGATGTGAATCCCCCTTCCACTATTCCATGTGCTAAATGTGTTGAATTATCTAATGAAGTGGATAGGTTAAAGATAATGGTTGATAGAATGACTAGTGGGAGAGACAACTTAAATGTCCTCCTTGGTAGACAAAGGGTTGAATCTACTAAATATGGACTTGGCTTTCAAAAACCTCCCTTTGTTCAACCAAGAAAGACAAACCACTATCCACCTAGGTTCATGTCTAAGCTACCATTTAAGAAATGTACATATTGTTGCATGAGTGGTCATCTTGTATATCAATGTAATATTAAGAAATATGGCCTAAAAGGAACTAATCTCAAGTGGGTTCCTAAGAGGACTATAAATGTGAGCAACATTGCTTCAACATCTTATGGACCTCAACCTAACACATCTAGCATGTTCTTTAGCCCCAAGGTAAAGAACATGATATATGTTCCTAAGAAGACTTAGTGGATATGTATGTATCATGTGCCATGGACTGTTTTATAGTTATATTTTTTTTGCACATGATATCTAGTCACTATTTAATATAAAAGAAGCATGTATGGACTGTTTTGAACTATCTTTTGATACACATGCTTAGTATAAATATTGTGCTTAAGTGTATCATGCTCCTACCTTAAAAATATTGCTGTTAAGTTGTTAAATTCTCCACAAATCATTTATACTCAATTCTGCCCAACTTGGACAGCAATGATATTTGTAATATTTTCACCTTGAATAATGCTCATTTATGTTTAATATTGCAATACTAGTACATAGGACTATTGTGCTTTATTGTATGTATCAATTCTAACATGTAAGGACCCAAAAGAACAAAGGGTACCAATAGATCATATTATTTTTCTTGTGTTGAAGGTTTGTTTTAGAGCAAAAAGTACTAAATGGTATTTGGATAGCGGTTGCTCAAGACACATGACCGGAGATCTTTCAAAGTTCTCAACATTTCATAGACGGGAACACGGGAATGTTTCTTACGGTGACAACAACAAAGGAAAAATTCTTGGCTATGGTAATGTAGGTAACTCTTCAACTATATTAATTGAAAATGTGTTGTATGTTGATGGGTTGAAACATAATCTCCTTAGCATTAGTCAATTATGTGACAAAGGCTTTGATATAAAATTTAATACTTCCATATGCATAGTTGAATCTAAGGATGATAAAAATATTAGACTCATTGGACATAGATGTGATAACATTTATATGATTGACCTTGATAGTATGTCTTCTCTTGAACCTAAATGTTTGGTCTCTAAAGATAATGATGCATGGTTATGGCATAGACGAGTAGGACATATTAACATGAGTCAACTAAATAAAGTAATAGCCAAAGACCTAGTAATAGGTCTACCTAAGCTTAAGTTCAAAAAGGATAGATTGTGTGATGCATGTACAAAAGGGAAGCAAGTGAAAATCTCCTTTAAAAGTAAAAATGTGGTTACTACCACACGTCCCTTGCAACTTTTGCACATGGATCTTTTTGGTCCTACTAGAACTAAAAGCTATGGTGGAAACTACTATGCATTTGTGGTTGTGGATGATTACTCTCGATTCACATGGACTTCATTTTTGAAACATAAAAGTGATGCTTTCAATTCTTTTGAAACACTAGCGAAAGTCCTTATGAATGAGAAAAGTGTGAATATTGTTTCCATTAGGAGTGATCATGGTGGGGAATTTGAAAATCATGACTTTGAAAAATTTTGTGAAAATAACGGTATAAGTCATAATTTTTCTGCTCCTAGGACCCCACAACAAAACGGGGTTGTGGAAAGGAAAAATAGGACATTAGAGGAACTAGCAAGGACAATGCTCCATGATAGCAACGTCCCCAAACATTTTTGGGCAGATGCAGTTAGCACTGCTTGCTATGTTTCGAACCGTATTCTTTTTAGAAAAATTCTAAATAAAACCCCCTATGAACTTTATAAAGGAAGAAAACCCAATGTTTCACACTTTCGTGCCTTTGGTTGTAAATGCTTTGTATTGAATAATGGAAAAGACAACCTAGGTAAGTTTGATTCCAAATCCGATGAGGGTATTTTTCTTGGTTATTCTTTATCTAGTAAATCATATAGAGTGTTTAATAAAAGAACTATGATTATTGAAGAGTCAATACATGTTACTTTTGATGAATACTATGATCCTGCTAATGTGCCGCGAAAGGCAAGTGTTGAAGATGATATTGCAGGTGAATTTGAAAAGATTTCATTAAATGACCTAGAGGAAGCTCAAGCACAACCTGAACAATCAATAGCTCCTCAAATCTGAATTTTCTGTTTTAATTAAGATATATTTTGATTAAAATTCAGATTTCTTGTGGTTTATCAATAAAAGATTTATCTAGAATTAATTCTGAATTTTTTGTGAAATTTTAAGAGAAATTACAATTCTGATTTTTCTGAATATAATGTGATAATTTCTTTTTAAATCAGAATTTTTAGTGTCTATCATTTTGATACTTGATATAAATAAATACAAGTTCCTTATTGCTGAAAATTTATAGTTTGTGATACACATACTTGTGCTCTAAATTTTCTGCATACATCATATCATTTTTGGAGCTTGTTGTTCTGCTTTATCTGATATATCAAGTGTGCTAGGACATTGTAATAGGTTGAAAAATTTTCTGTTATAAATCTGAGATATTGTATTGGTTGTTAAAGTGGAGTAGTTGTGTGCTGCAAATCTGTCCTAGGTGTGTGGGTGCAACCGAGTGGGTTGGCGACCTTGTGCTTGGCTTGAGAGTGTGTCTCAAGGCCTGGAGCCTCAAGAATCCACTAGGGAGAGTGGAGGTCTTGTGTGAGAGGAGTTGGTGAACTCCTTAGGTTCGGCTTGAGAGTATTCTCAGAGCTTGGAGCAGTGTAGGCAGTAGGAAGATTTTTGGTATTTTTTTTTTTTTTTGATAACAAGATTTTTGGTATTTTGTTTGATTGCATGTGTGACGCGTGTTTGTAAAACTGGTACACTTGTGATAAATAAAATATCTGCAGCTACTTCAGTCTGGACGTAGCACCCTACTTAGGCTTAGTGGGTGTGAACCAGGATATATCGTGTGTCCATTGTCTCTCTGGTTTAATTTCTGAATATTTTGTTTATAGACTGACAGTTACACTAATTCTATTATAATTGCTGCGTTTATACTCTATAATTGCTAAGGTACGCTTTCTGTTACTACATTGTTCTTAGCATTGCGAAAAACTATTTTGGGCATATAGGGATTGAAGAAAAATTGTGTAATTGTTTACTGAATTCAAAAAGATTTTGAAAAAGTTGAGAACACCTATTCACCCCCCTCTAGGTGTTCCGTAAGCGTCCTGTGTAAGAAGCCACTTGCCCAACACATGCCCCATATATACATATATCTTATGAATATTGTTATGAATCTACAAATTTTTACATATTTAAGGAAGCCCAAAATAAGAAGGATCTTTACATAATTTGGACCGTCATCATATCTTAATTAACACAATCTTAAAGCATTTATGCTTTTTGTTTAATCCATTTTTATTTGATACGAGACTGTATGACTCGTACTCGAATTTTCAATGTAAACTTATTTTTATATATTATGAGATTAATCGTATAATGCACAAGTGGTTCCTTCTTAGCAGTAAGTTTGGGTTTGAAGTCACATATTTTGTTTTAGAAAAGTTTATATAATCAAAATAATTCAAAAGAATTCTTAAAAAAAAAAAACTTTGTTTTTTTTGGTACAGTACCAAAAATATTAATAACTTTGTTTTAGTGTGAATTAAGTTGTACACAAATTCTTGGAAAGGCTGCCACTTAATTATTGAAGTAATCATACTTAGATATTTTCTAATTAAATCAAATGAGAACAAGTGGTCACATAAAAATGTGTTTAAATTAAAATAATTTCGTAAATAGCATTACTCGTGTATTTGGAGTCTAATTATAAGTTATTATTATGCTTACTATTACAAAAATCTTTATCCTTTTCACACCCCAAATAGTTGGAATGTGATTCTTTCTTTATTTTGTTTATTGAAAGGACAAATTATGAGAATTTGAAAGGACTTTCAGATATTGTAAAGCTTAAACTCCACCGAATGTGCTTAGGCATTGCTCGTCCGAATTTGGTACCCCAACTATCTCTATCTATCAATTTATAGGATCAACCTTCCATTTTTGGGCTGAGGAGGAACTTAGTAACTTAGAGTACGGTAATTGTAATCAATAGGGTGCAATTGAAATTACAACAGAAATCACACTTATAAATAAATTGTTAAAAGTTTACCTTATGCTATTCGAGCTAAAAGAATTCGTATAAAGTGGATTTGATTTGGACCAAAACAAAATAAGCCATGAAATGAAGCTCATTGCACAATAGACAGTGGTGCTTGACAGTTGCCATGTAAATATCTTCGAGTGGCATCTGCCTTGGCATTGGGCAAGTCGACCATTTGGCTAAAATTGAAAAAAAAAAAAATATGAAAAAAAATAAAATAATAAAAATAAAAATAAAGAGCCTATGGCGTTGAACATAGTAGATAAGCATTGTAGGTTGAGTGGCATTGCTTTATAGGTTATAATAGGCAGACAAAACGCATCTGGTTACCCTATTTGCGTTCCTTAGTTCGTGGCAAAGCATACTAGTTGGCTTTCCATTGCTCTTTGTATTCAATCATTAATAATTTGTTTATGCTATTTGGTATTTCGTATGGTATTATTCTGTATACTCTGCTTTGAATTGATCAACATCATTACCTTTTAGTGTGAGCATCGAATGTTGGATGTCTTGGCCTTATATCTGTACAATACTTTCTACACGCGCAAATACAAACTACAATGACCAAACAGAAGAGAAAGAGAGAGACAAATGAAGTGAGGTTTGGATCCAAAAGGGGTCCCCAAAATAGAGTAATCCAAAAGACGTCACGCGCGTTCATTTGTTTCCACATACATTATTCCTTGTGATTAAATTATGGCGGTTATATTTAGGGTTACCACCGTTTTAGATTTATCATTTTTACTATTGTTGGATCAATTTAAAATTAATGGTTAAAAAAAAAAATTATTAGTTATTGATTTCAAATTGATGCAATGATAATTAATCAAATAATTAGAGTGATAATATTTTAGTAATAAATAAAATATGGAAAAAAGAATTATCATTTAAAAGATGATTTACACAAAATATGACCGGTCATACTTTGTATAAATCTGAAAAGTTACTTTTTTTTTCTCTCCTCAGTCACATCGTGTAAAGTGAAAAAAAAAGTAATTTTTTAAAATTACACAGATGAAGTCACACTATGTGTAAGTCACCAGAAGGATACAACTTGTGTCCTTTTAAATGACACACACTAAACCCATATTATATTTCACATATACTATTCTGATTTTAAATTAATAAACATGTAAGTGTGTATTCTTTCTCTCGATCAGGCTATAGGATTGTGAGGTGGGTTTATAGCCGCCAA